GAGAGAGAATGAGAGAGGGGGGGGGGAGGAAGTCGACGCCGGATTTTGCCGCCAAACTCCAAAACGAGCGCGGTCGGCGCGGCGGCCACTCTTTGTGGAACGTGCGTGTAGGGCAGCATATAACTTTCGCGCGAGTGTAAGTTCGTTAGAACAATTTTGCGGCGTAGAGTGGTTGTACCAATGCGACGCGACGCGACGCGATGCCGCCGGCCGCAGAGCTTCCGAACGCGGAAGGCGTCGAACGGCTCGCCTATGAATAAATCTCATCGCGGCAAGAGACGATATTTGCATATATCATCCGGCAAAAGACGTTCCAAGTATCGTTTGTACAACTAGTGTTATAAAAGCGATATAAGAAAACAATTTACTCTTTATCTCTGGGAAAATAAATAGCAGTGCAATATCCTGGATACGTCTCTCTCACAATACAAGGATCAAGTTTGATATTTGATATAAAACGAGCACGCTGGATATTTCTATCATAATAGTAAAGAATGAAAACCGGAACGCGGTTTCCGTTCGCCTGCCGAGTTTTATCCGCAGTTTTCGTAATGCTTGAAAAATCAACCCTGCTTTACAATAATAGTCGTAATATTTTCGCTATCGTGTTTTCGATTCCATGCATCTGTTCAGAAAGGTATGCCACAGTTTTTACATTAGTAATCTGAGCGACATATGATTTATGTCAGATATGCGTACGGATCATATTCGTATTAGGAGGAGGGGGAGAGGAGGAGGAGGAGGAGGAGGAGAGGGACATTAGTAAATGTAAATTTTGCGAGGACAGTTCGTTTTTGTGCTCTTCGTTGCGAGAGCAATCCGATACACTCTGATTGCAGATCGCGTAAACGAATGGAATGAACTGAACGGTCGGATAATTCGCGATATCTCCCGTTGTTCTTGAAACAGTACCGTGAACTGGATCGTAAGAAGGCAAGAGCGCAATCGCAGTCGGACGTGATGTAGTTTACTTTGGCGCACCGGTAGCATTCGTGATTCCGTCGAGTCTCAAGATGTATAATATGTCGTTGCCTTCTACGTTGGCGCGCTATGTGATAGCTGACGTTAATTTGACTCGTTTCAACCTGATCAATTCGCTGCGTTTTGGAAACTTTAGATTGCCGTATTTTTCTTGCGAGAAATTATACTCGTCTTAAGCATACATATTCCACCGTAAGCGCGAGAAAGAAATGAGAGAAATTTCTTTAATAGGGTAAAATAATTACTGCAGGAAGTGTAAAAGACACTTACGACAAAAATGCAAGTGTTTTAAATTATTTTATATATGAAAAATATATCACAAATACGATACTCGCACATACGGTCGTGCTTAAAATTCTTAATATGTTTGAAAAATATATATTTTGTATTTTTATTTTTTATACTGGTAGATAGTAGAAAGTTTTTATTGATTGATGTAGTTTATTTATATAAACATAGAGTAAATAATACTTTATAACCGAAGTTTTATAATAAGTACAGCATATACCGGAGTTACCTCACATTAGATATGTTCAGAAATTTCTTTTTTCTTTACGTTTATTTTTTAACATATTATTTCCAATTACTTATTATGCGGATCGTGATCCTTGGCTCGTTATTGAAAGGATTCTTTTTCAGGTTGACATTCTTTAAATCGATCATTTTTGAAACTGCACTGTTTTCCCTACGTAATTGCGTAAGCTTTAATTTTTGGGATAGGACATCAATTATCGATGATCATAAACGATAGATGTAGTCCAGCCATCATCAGTAGTCACTGCATATTGTATTTATGACTTGCGATTAATGCGATATCAATATGTCCGAGTCATAATGAAGATGCGACATGCGCTGATTAATTAACTACGACAATAAAAGATGGTATCCTATATAGGAATCTGGAATTTGTTAAATTATTTATCGAGAGATGTGATAAATGTCTGTCGGAAAATAGCCATCTCACTCACTTGTGACTGATATACGCTGATTATAGCTTCATCCGTGAAATATTTGCATCAATTGCTACATTATTGTAATAACATCATGATGCGTTTAATACTTGATCCTCCTCAAGCATGTAATATATGTATTGTATATATTATTAAACTACTAATATGACGTATATCGTTATTGACGAGTCAATAATGTTGAATTTTATTTCCAAGTTTATAATGTAAATTCATTGGCCAGCTTTTATATATGTGTATCGAAAGAAATGTCAATTGATCGCATTATTTCCTGATGATTGCAATACTTCCTCATTCTCTCTCTTAGCGCTATTAAAACGAGAAATTTTTTCTCTCAGAATTACTAGCTCTGAAATAATTCAAGTTTTTACGATGACAGATTAGACTTTCCTTCTCGGTGATGAATTCTGGAATTCGCTAATCTTTCTAGAAGGTCGGCTACATTTTATGCATAATAACTTTTGTCTTTTTTCTTTGTCACGTAAACGTAGCGTTTGCGCGCTGATGCTTTTGTAGCATGAGAAGACGTGAATTGAAAAAGAATTTTATATTATATGTAGCTACATTTTTCATTTCTTCAAATTAAAACTAAGTGAGACTCTAGTTTAAGATATTTTTTTAAAGCTTAGATTATTTTATTCGTAATTCAGTTAATAGGAGAATGTTTCCGATAATATGCAGGAAGAGGAGAGAGAGAGAGAG